TGTCCTTTGGAACCATATATGATCATTATATGTTGTCATAAATGTCCGTGGTAGCCTTGAGTTTATGAAATTAATGCAAGTGTTAAACGGATAAATTAACAGTTTAAAGGCATATCGGATAGATTTACCCATCAAATAGACTCATGTGGTGTATTAGGGTCAATATGTAGCATCTTGACAATTTCTTTTTCCGAGTCCAAAAAAGTAAAAAAAATTGTCCAAAATTGAAGGCTATATAATACACGATTTCAGGTCAATTTTGACATTAATTCAAAAAATGAATTGATAGCGTGGGGTGACTTTTAGGGACATATCATGTGGGTTGAAACCATAAGACACCTATAAAGATGTCTACATAGTACTGAATGAGATTTTCAATGTAGGTGCGAATTAACTCAAGGCCACCACGAGCCTTTACATGACCGACCAATGGTCATATACGGTTCAAAACATTATTTCATGACCTTGGGAAGCATCCCTTACAATCCTAATAGTTTTCGACACCGATTCACGAAACTTCTGAAATTCAACTAATTTCGCGTATTATACCCTTTACTTTTGAACAACTTATTTTACCTATTTTAGACTCGGAAGAAAAAGAGGAAGAAGCTTTCCAAAAAACCCCACGAGACCATTAGGATGGTTGTAACTATCCACTTTGTCTTTAAACAATCAATTTAACCGTTTATGTATACGCCTCCTTTAAATGACTTAAGGCTACTGCAGACTTTTATGTGACCGACTATTAACTTTGAATGATTCCTACCACATTATATGACCCCGAAATGCTTCCTCTACAACCTTAAGATTTTTCAATGCCATGTCCTAAAACCTTCAACATTAGTCCAATTTCTTGAATTGTAGCCTTCAAAATGTCGTTTCAACCCATACACGACCATTAGTCACCTACGTAAAGGCCCCACGAAACCTTTCAACCAATATAAGATGCGTGTACGAAAACGCGTAAATTGGATGCTTAATAGCAAATTGGATGGGTCCACCCACCCAATTGGACTCTTGGAGGCTATTGCGGTCTATATGAAGCTTCTCGGCAATATTTGTTTTCGAGTAAAAAAAAGTCGAAAACTCGAAAAATTGAAGGCTATAATTTACTTTTTTTGGACAATTTAGGAGATTTAGGGGCCAGATGTCAAAAAGTCTCGAGATACAAGGGGATACATATTGGGGTCATATAATGTCCTTTGGAACCATATATGATCATTACATGTGGTCATAAATGTCTATGGTAGCCTTGAGTTTATGAAATTGATACAAGTGGTAAACGGGTAAATTGATAGTTTAAAAGGCATATAGGATAGATTTACCTACCAAATGGATTCCAGGCGTGTATTAAGGTCAATAGGAAGCATCTCGACAATTTCTTTTTCCGAGTCTAAAAAAGTGAAAAAGAATGTCCAAAATTGAAGGCTATAATACACAATTTAGATCAATTTTGACGGTTTTTTCAAAAAATGAATTGAATGCGTGGGGTGAATTCTACGTACATATAAGGTGGGTTGAAACCATAAAACACATATAAAGATATCTATAAAGTACTAAGAATGAGATTTTCAATGTAGGTGCGAGAATTTTAATGTAGGTGCGAATTAACTCAAGGCCACCACGAGCCTATACATGACCGACTAATGATCATATGCGAATTTTGTACGACCTTAGAATGCATCACATGCAATCCTAACAGATTTTGACAACGAGTCACAAAACTTCTAAGATTCATCTAATTTCACATATTATAGTCTTTACTTTTGAACAACTTTTTTAACCTATTTTAAACTACGAAGAAAAAGAGCATGAGGCTTTCCTATAAAACCCACAAAACCATTTAGAAGGTTGGAACTGTTCACTTTGCCTTTAAACAATCAATTTAACCAATTATGTATACACCTCCTCTAAATGACTTAAGATCACTGCGGGCTTTTATGTGACCGGCTTTTGACATCAGTGATTCCTAACACATTATATGACACCAAAATGTTTCATCTACAATCTTAACATTTTTCGACGTCATGTCTTAAAACCTCCGCCATTAGTTCAATTTCTTGAAATATAGCCATCAAAATGTTGTTTCGACCCATATACGACCATCAATTCAACACATAAAGGCCCCATGAAAGCTAGTAACCAATACAAGAAACGTGTACGAAAATGCGTAAATTGGATGTTTAAAGGCAAATTGGATGGTTCCACCTACCCAATTGGACTCTGGGAGAGTACTAGGATCAATAGGAAGCTTCTCGACAATTTTTGTTTTCTGGTAAAAAAAAAAGTCGAAATTTTGAAACATTGAAGGCTGTAATTCACGTTTTTTTGGACAATTTCGAATATTTTAAACCCGATATAAAAAAGTCTCGAGATACTAGGGGACACATCTTGGGGCCATATAATTTCCTTTGGAACCATATATGATCATTATATGTTGTCATAAATGTCCGTGGTAGCCTTGAGTTTATAAAATTGATGCAGGCGATAAATTGAACATTTAAAGGCATACTAGATAGATTTACCCACTAGATGGACTCCTTGGGTGTATTAGGGTCAATAGGTAGCATCTCGACAATTTCTTTTTCTAAATCCAAAAAAGTGAAAAATTGTCCAAAATTGAAGGCTATAATACACAATTTAAGGTAAATTTTGACATTTTTTTCAAAAAATGAATTAATAACGTGGGGTAACTTCTAGGGACATATAAGGTGGGTTGAAACCATAAGATACCTATAAAAATGTCTATAAATTACTAAGAATGAGATTTTCAATGTAGGTGCGAATTAACCAAAGGCCACCACAATCCTTTACATGACAGACTAATGATCATATACAGTTCAAAACAATATTATATAAATAAGGATGCATCCCTTGCAATCCTAATAGTTTTCGACATCAAGTTACGAAACTTCTGAAATTCATCAAATTTCGTGTATTATAGCCTTTACTTTTGAACAATTTTTTTACCTATTATAAACTCGGAAGGAAAAGAGGATGAGGCTTTCCCATAAACCCTGCGAGGCTATTTGGATGGTTAGAACTATCCACTTTGCCTTTAAACAATCAATTTAACTTTTTATGTATACGCCTCCTCTAAATGACTTAAGGCCACATTATATGACCCCAAAAAGTTTCCTCCACAATCTTAAGATTTTTCGATGCCATGTCCAAAAACCTCAAACATTAGTCTAATTTCTTGAATTATAGCCTTCAAATAAGGCTTCTAGATAACATTTTAAAACACAACAAGATTATGCATCAAGATTATTTCTGGGGTCCAAAGAGCCCTGTGAATATGTGAAAGCCTACTTGGTGCTCGAAACCATCTCATTCATGCCTTAGCTCACCCTATGTTATCATGACTTGAAGCCTTATAAATGCTTTATCTTGGCCTTGAGAAAAATGGAAGTACATAAAAGGGAGGGGAAGGATAGAGGAGAGATAGGGAAGTGAGGAGTAAAGAGGAAAATAGAGCATACCCTCTTTACAAAAAAGGTTTTCCTTCTCTAAAAAAATCCCCACCTACAAGAAAATTGCTAAAATGTAGGAAAATCACTTTCAAGGAAAACGTTTTCTACCAAAAAAACGCAGCCTATTGAATTTCAATATTTTCCCTTCCTTCACAAAGTCAAGAAAAGATTGGCCTTTGGCCCTTACAGCTGATAAGAATGGCCATCATAAATACAAAGTTCAAGAGCATGTGGTTGTATCCCCTAACAATCTCCAAAATCTCCTTCAAACCAAGAAAAGACAAACAATACTAACCAATCTTCTTCTCAATTGGGGCATTAGAAGAATTTTTATTACCTCCAATCGAAAACAGGCTCACCATAACACATGCCATTACAGACATGAAGGGTAACAAAGACCAAAGCAGCAAATACAAAGTATAGAAATCTCAAAACTTAATTCTTGAGGATTTACTATTATACACATTTAAACAAGATTACTCAAAACTGAAGAAACAAGACCTTTTGTAAGATTATAATGCCCAAGAACTATTTTATCTCAAAACATTCTTTCCACTTTGTTTAAATGGATAATGCATCAATAGCTATTGTTTCTTCTTAAAACACCACAAAAACAGCCTTCGGACATAATTTATGTTCATTGATTCTCTCTGTACCCAACAAAGCAATCAAATGCTTAATAAATATAGATTTGCAAAAGTCGGCAGCTACCCTTTCACAAAATAATTCAAACTTCCACTTTTGATCAATGGCCAGTACAGTCCTAATTCCGAAATTTCTGGCCAACTGCATCAGTAAACTAGAGTAACAACAGTTTAAACTAACAAGCATCACAAAGTCATTGGTAAGCCATAAAATTACCAGTTACATGCACATTGACAAGTGTTTAATCAAGTAAGCAATCAGACGAAAGGGGAAGAAACATTTTCACTACATCATCCCCACCACTAAATTAAAAAGACAAAGCAAAATGCAAAAGAAGGAACCTCAAACTAACCTAAACCAACAGACTACGTTCTTCTAGACCATATGTACAAGAGAAGCTCAACAAACCCTTGCATAATAAGCAACATTTTAACGGGAGAAGAACAAAAAGAAGAATTCCATCAACTCTACTTGATCTTGAATATGCCAACAAATCCATTTTGTATGCTAACAATGATGGAAAATGCCTTCACTTATACAAAAAAGTAATCAAAACACTAACTACGGTAGTACGGTCTTATACAATAAGCACCAAACATTTTTGTTTCATAATTCACATATAATATCATATTTTCAGCGGACAAGGTTGGGTTCGTGACAAGACAAATAGATGGTTAGCCTGAGTTGGTCACGTGTGGTCATCGTGGGTTGAGTCACCTTTTGACAGCTCTAAGTACACATAAGCAATAATCTCAAACAGCAAAGAGCAAATATTTATAGACATAGCATTTAAAGATAAAAATTGATAAATAAAGCCAATAGCCATACATATATGGAGAGACAAAGAGAGGCCATTTGAGGGGGAGAAAAAAAAAATCATACTCAGTTGCAATAATTTGCTCAAAAAGTACTTTAACCATATCTAGCCCACGCTTCACTTTCAAAAGATTTCTAGTATGGCTGCCTTGTTTTCGCACTGTTTTTGCCTGAATATCTTGATCAATCAATACTTGTAATGTAGTAATCGAGTTTGAGGCCTCAACAAGATCATTAACCTACGCAAAATTCATGTACGATTAATATCACTTGCTAATAAAGTTCAGACATTTTAAATTAAATCCAAAAGCCTTCCTATCACAAGTGGGGAAAATGAGGTGATTAATAATGAAGAGACTAAGAGTATTGGCTTACCTTGGCAACATAGTCTATCCCTGCAAACTTAAAAGCTATCCCCAAACAACCAAACAACGGTGAGACAAGGGAACAAGCATGGGAAAATGGGGCAACTTTAAGATCAGAGTCCTGGGAATTAACAGTGGTTGCAAGATCATTGAATGCTTCAGCAATCTTCTTCAATGGCTTTTCTCCCCCATCCTCTGTCATTCTTCCTAAATTCACCCTTACAGATCACTCTAAAATCTGCAGAACATGATGAAAATAAATGCCTTAAGCAGTATGATTGCAACAAAAAACATACAATAGCAAGGGAGTGAAGACACTGAATTCCATCACATTTGCACCATTTTTTACCATATAGGTAGCTTGAAGTTGTTATTGTTATGTTAAAGTAGCCACACCACTTCTAAGTAAGAACATTGTTGTTGTTAGTCCCCCCCCCCCCCCCCCAAAAAAAAAAAAAAAAAAAAAAAAAGCTTTTTTTTGCCTTTGCAAAGATCAGAACATAGGAAATTATTGTAATTTTAAGTAGATACAGTCAGTTACATATCCATTTAAACAAAACTAAATCACTTTGTTATAATCATTATACTATAGATGATTGTTGAAAGAATTAACAAAATAAAAAATTTCTTATGGAGCTACATACTCCATAACAAACAAATCATCTAAATAAAGAAAACAGAAACCTATGATTTATTACTACGGAACACTATTTTGAAATAAAGGTAGAGTAGTTATTTACAAGGGAATTCTTGTTGGCGGTCTAATTTTTTAAGACTTACGCTTTAGAAGCGAAATAGTTTTGGAAACACCATAATCCTATGTTTTGGATTTTTCTGTAACCTTATTTTGCAAATAAAGTTCAAAAACTGTATGAAAAAAAATTGTTCTGTATCCCTCTTCCTGCCAAAGTGTCAAAGCACTAGTCACTCCACACACACGACACCCTATACGATGACCATTCAAGGACATGGCAATTGTTAGAGTAGTTCAACGATTTCTAAAATCTCCATTTAATTTAATTAAAAACATAAACCTTTCTAATTCACTTGCCATTTTGCCAAATCCCAGCTTTATCACTTAGCTCATCTAAATGGCTTTTACTTCTAGCAGCAGTGTACATAAAGGTCATAAACCCTCCAAAATGCTAAGCAACTTCCACAAATCAATGGCATTACACATAAAAGCTATGCAAAAAAACTATATGCCTATATGGTAAAATTTTGGGAATTCACTACCAGAAAAGCATGAATTTTGGTGGGAAAATATTACTCCCCAAGGTCACTTCAAACAGATACATTCAATAACCTTCCCTCATCCCTTTGGAGACGTAAGGCTAAAAGGATTTGACAAATCAACCGCCTTAAGCGTGAAAACCATCCAACACTATGATTTAATAACTGAAACCTCACTGGAATCCCTAATGCCTTATGTAAACAAAATATCGGAAAAGTACAGAGTAAACGTTTCCAATAACAAGATAAAATACAATTGCACGTTTATGAGGATAGCACCTAATCAAAGATCTAATGTATTGCAGAATATACAGACAAAGTGCAGAATGTGAACATAAGAATCCTAAATACTTGTACTTTAACTAGACAAACTATACTTGTATAATTCTATACCAGTTTTCAGTCATCAATAACCTTCTCAAATCAAATTAGGGTTTCTTCAATTATTAATGTAATATTATCATTGGAGTAAGAAATCCCATTAAATTCCAATACTACTTGATCATCAATCTGAAATCACAAATTCCTCAACTCTTAAAAATAGACAGTTAAAGTTCAAACTACCAGAACAAAGAACCCCAGTTACAGTAACTTGTACATTTCAACAAATCATCTAACAAACTACAAACCCTTTTGAATTTGAGAATCAAGACATGTTAATTTGTGAAGCAAAAAATAAAAATAAATAATATTATCCAAAAAAAAAAGAGTAAATTGAAAAGAATAATACCAAATTGGATATTGAAAGGAAGTTGTTGAACAGAGATGAGGCCAAATAAATGGAGTGTTTGAAGGTTAGATTTTGATGGCGATGGCGAATCGGCGGAGTTTTAGATCAGTGGAAGAGAGAGAATCGGAATTAACTAATGCGGAATTTGAGTGGTTGAAAAGGGGGAATTTTTATTTTTTTTAACCAAAATTCAAACGTCGGTTATAATTTTCCTTTTTAGTTTGCGTAACTTTTTTTTTTTTTTTGAAATGTACGAAGTATTCATTTTCTTTAACCTTAATAAATTATAATATGTTTGATTAACCAATTTGGTTGTTGATGTAGTGGTGGTGATTAGAGTTGCACTTGATAGGGATAGTGATGGCCAAGTGTTCAATCTCTTGTCACAATAATTGGGAATTGTTTGGAAACTTAACATATTTTCATAATTCATCCATGATTAATTGAATTGATCAAGTATAATTATTATAATCCCATACTGGTAGAAAATTAAAGGTTATTGTCTCTCTTAATGAAAAATGTATTTAATTCAATGGTTTCACCTAGAGGTATAGGTGTCAATTCGGGTACTTAGACTGAGTTAAGTGAAGTTGTGTCGAAGAAGGTGTGTTTCTAAGTTGTGTCATATTAATTATTATGTCCATATGTGAATCAAAATCTAAATTAAGTTTTTACAGCTCAAATCGAACCAGGTCATTCGGGTCAATTTTTGACACAACTACCAGGTGGTTTCTAGACATAGTTGGCCTAACCATCTTGCATTGATCTATCCACGCTAGCAAGTTGGGTTCAGAGGGCTTACCAAGCTTTAATTAGCTAATGCATATGTCTAAATACCTTAGCTTAATCAATTGCTCGATAACCATCCCTAGTTCTAGCAATTTCTATAGTAATTGGGCAAAGTAGACATCCTCATGCATCATCTTTCTCAAAAAAAAACCCCAATTCTTAGGCATGTCTTATGTGACAACTTTCTAGCACATTCTCCATTGGCCGCCATTGGTTTCGAGTAAGTTCAAAGTCTAATAATAACTCCATGCAACGACCCATTCTAATGTCATTAACTCATTATATCCTAAATTTACTCATTTGCATGCCAGTTGCACAAGCCCCAAATCTACAGACCCATTTATCATTTTCATTTATGCCAACTTCAAAGAACCCATGCATATATCAATCATCATCGTCTGATCATATTTCTTCACAATCATTAATTATAGTTTTATGTATATATGTACCAACTACGTTACCAAGGAGTAGTTCGTTTACAGTAGGAGTACTTGTTAAACTACCTAGTGATGCACTCTGCACAGTATTAGACATGCATGTCATAAGAGATTCAGAGAACACTATGTCCTAGAAAAAACAACACTCCTACTTCACAAGAATGAACATATTCCGTCGTGAAAAGGACAAAAGATATTCGATCGAAATTTAAGGTACGAAGTATAACAAATGCAAAAATTCTTGAGGTTGATCCAAGGTATTCGATGAATCATTTTCAAGATAGATCAAGTGAATAATCAAATATCATGAAATTAACTACAAAAGTCCAACTAAATCTCTCACAAAAAAGCAAGGGTGGGTAAGGAAATTAAAAAGACCAGTTGCATAGTCCATACATGAAAAAGTACATTGGCAAGCTCCTACTCGTAGTTAGTTAGAGTTGGGACACAACTTTCCCATTCCCTGTCGTCCCTGCCGGTCTGCCCCATATAGTTATTTCCATTGTTATGTCCCTTTAAGACAATATCCGATCCTTTCATACAATATCAAGTACTCCGTATATGATATGATTTAATATTCTATGATATACAAAGTAATCAAATACAAGAAAATTCTTGTGTCAAAAAATAAATAAATAAATAACTAAATAAATACATGAAAGTTGTCACATGCACAAGGATTAACCACTTGAGTTATTCCTCACTCTCACAGAAGTCAAATTTAAAAGCTATAATACACAAAATTGGAATGCAATGTAGGAGGCGTCGGGACCCGGTGTCAAAAATTCACGAAAATCTACGGGATGCATCCATGGGTCATATAATCTTGTTTTTTGACCCATATACGACCATCAGTCGGCTACATAAAGGCCCCATGAAAGCTTATAGCCAATACAAGAGGCGTGTACGAAAACACCTAAATTGGATGCTTAAATACAAATTGAATGGGTCCACCCACCTAATTGGACTCCCAGAGGGTATTAGGGTCTATAGAAAGCTTCTCGGTAATTTTTGTTTTTAAGTAAAAAAAATAAGTCGAAAATTTGCAAAATTGAAGGCTATAATTCACGTTTTTGGGCAATTTTGAAGATTTCAGGACCCGATGTCAAAAAGTCTCGAGATACTAAGGGATACATCTTGGGGTTATATAATGTCCTTTAGAACCACATATGATCATTATATGCTGTCATAAATGTCCGTGGTAGCCTTGAGTTTATGAAATTGAAGCAAGTAGTAAACGGGTAAATTGAAAGTTTAAAGACATATCGGATAGTTTTACCCACCAAATGGACTCCCGAGGTGTATTAGGGTCAATAGGAAGCATCTCGACAATTTCTTTTTCCGAGTCCAAAAAAATAAAAAATTGTCCAAAAATTAAAGGCTATAATACACAATTTCAGGTTAATTTAGAGATTTTTTTTTCGAAAAATGAATTGAATGCGTGAGGTGACTTCTAGAGTCATATAAGGTGGATTGAAACCATAAGACACCTATAAAGATGTCTAAGTACCAAGAATGAGTTTCGTTTATCTATATATATAGCGAGTTTAGAGGTGTCAATTCGGATATCTAAATCAGGTTCAATAAGGTCTAATTGGCATCTATTTCAAAGACGAGACATGCTTAATTATTATTCCCTCATATATATGTCCCTTATTTTTGCCCCATTACATAAATTTGGGCCAAAATTTTAAAACTACCATGAATTGTAGTTAATCCATAAGTGACACTCGTAATATATCCGTGTGAAATCTTGTTGGAATTGTCACGTTGAATATTTTATTAGTATCAAATTTTTTTAAAAAAAAATTATAAAAATCTATTACAAACTACTAAAAGCAAAATTAAAAATAATGACACTTGGCAATGTATTATTACCTCTTTTTTTCCCTCCAAATCTACTTCCTTCCAAAAAGTTCATTGTTTAAGAAAAAGAAGGTTTGTATATAAGGGTCTGTTCTGATTTACTGAATTGGGCTGAACAGAAATGAACTAAACTTAAACGATGATTGGAATTGAACTAAACTAAATATTTTATGAAAGAAAGAAATCAAGAAATGAATTGAACTGAATTGATTGGAGCTATACTGAACTGAAAATAAACTGAAGAGAATAAGCCCTAATTTATGACATTTACTTTATATTCCATCTAAAGAAAACTTCCTAAAATATCAAATTGATTATTAAAATTATTTAATTATTTTGTTTATTTTCACTATTTTAGTACTATATATTTTATTTATATTTTTTAATACTTAACTTCAGGAGTCGATTTAATATATTTTGTTCCATACATTTATTTGTAAAATTGCTTTCAATATAACTATTTAACAGGCGTGCATTGCACATGACTTAATCTAGTGTAGATATATATGTTTGAAGACACGGCTTGAAGACCGTGAAATGTCAAATAGAGTAAAAACAAAATAAGGAATAGAGAGTGTGTTTATACAATTCAAAATTTAAGCTGAATTTTTTCAAAATTGAATCAGATCGATCATATTAATTTTGGACACCTCTAAATTGTACTACCTTCATTTTTTTTTAGTTGACACGTATTCCTTTTTAGGAAGTTTTTTTTAGTTGACACATTTCCTTTTGGGATAACTTTTTTACCTTGCATTTACAAGCTACCCTACTTGCTTTTTCATTCTCTCTCACTCTCTCTCCTCTCCGTAATATATGTGCCTAAATTAAACGCGTGAACTAAATAAAAACGGAGAAAGTATACAATAACATGCATTTCATTTTCAGTGATAAAATATGCCAACCTAGCTATACCCATAAATTCATAAAACAATAACCTTCCTCGAAGTTTGCTTCATACTTTTATCGATTAATTTCAAAGCTATGGTTTGTCTTTTTCATGAAGATTTTTGTTCTGCCCACTATGTCATGATACGCATAGTTATGTAAAGATAGCTTCGAATCCTATCATACGTTCATACTACGGTAGTGGAATTATCATCATGTATCATGCTTGTGCTTGGACACTTCAATAATCACTCTAGCATCTGATACACGAAATCATAACATTTTTTTTTAGAGATTTCAGGATACAATATTAAAAATACAAGTGAGGGCCTATTCCGATTGACTGGACTGAACTGAACTGAATTGAACTGAACTGAACTAAATTGAACTTATTAATTAGTGATTTTTAACTACGGATTAGTGATCTTTGACTACTTATTGATTATTTATTACTATACATATGTGTATATACAAATGTACATATTATTATTATTAATTATTGATGATTATTATTATTATTATTTATTGATTATTATTATTATTATTATTATTATTATTTTATTGTTATTATTATTATTATTATTATTATTTATTGATGATTATTATTATTATTTATTGATTATTATTATTATTATTATTATTTCAATTATTATTGTTATTATTATTATTTATTGATTATTATTATTATTATTATTATTATTATTATTATTTATTACTTATTGATTATTATTATTATTGTTAATATTATTATTATTATTATTGTTGTTGTTGTTGTTGTTGTCGTTGTAATAAGAGCTTAAAAGAATGAAATTTGGCTTTATATCATTAGCTATATCATTAGACGTAAATTAAGAGCTGAACTGAACTGAACTGAACTAAACTAAACTGAACTGAGTTGCACTGAACTGAACTGAACTGAACTGAACTGAATTTCAACGGAAGAGAACAGGCCCTGAGTGTGGGAGACGCATTGAAAAGTAAGGTTATAAAATTTTGCTTGAAATCATATACACTCACTATATTAATTGGATAATAGAGGTGTATGCTCAATGCCTAGTGCGCAAACGACGAACATCAAAATTAACTTAAAAGAAAATAAGACTACTTGTCTAACTACGTAGTATAATCAATGTAAACTCTAATGAACATAGCATTATCTTACTTATAAATTATTGATGTTAGTCTTCATATTCGTTGAAATTTGGCTTGATGTTCACAATGTACCCTTTGCATAAATCTCCATCGTCATATATGCACTCAATAATCGGTCAACTTAAGGCATGTGGTTCAAGCAAAAATAACGAATTTTTTAAATTTTTAAACCATAACTCATATAGTGCATTGTGCATAAACATATTTGCAAGAAAATTGGATTATTCAATTTTCAAGTTATAAAGAGTGGCCTCATAGCTCACAATTTCATACTTTATCATCATTAATTAGTTGATCCATGTTACTCTTGTTAATTAATTTATTTATTTAATTAGTAGGGTTACATAAAATGGATGTATATGCCTCCCTTCACTTTGATGTCGGATTATTGTGTTTGGTGAATGTTTGATCCAACGGTTTAATATTGATCATCTCAACACGTGTCCCCACCAAAACACTCATTCAACCACCAAATTTCCACTAGCTCTAGAAAGGTACAAAAACAAAAGTAATTATTTCAACCGCATTATAGTACAATCGAGTAATATACTCCGTAAGTAGTATAAGTGGTTCTTCACCACCTTCCCTTTCGGCTTTCAGTCAACACTCACACTTTCACTTCTCCAACTTGTTAGTTCAACGAATGATGTATTATGAAAGATCATAGATGATACAGGTAGAAATTGTACGACTATTAAAAGCTAGCATCTCATTTTAAGAGCAATATGGTAAATATATTAGATGCATCTACTAAAATGAATGAAGAGTTTAATATTGTTTGCTTCAAACTAGAATCAATAATTCCACTACACATGTAATAACCAAGTTGAACCTCATATATGGACATGTACCATGTAGTTGTTGTAGCATTAGATTAGGTGACCTATATTTGGTACAGAGTTTTATATTCAACTTATAACACGTATAAGCAATTTTTATGTTGGTATGCCTTGGTACGGTGCTACTCAAAACCTTTCCACAACACAAAACAGTTTTATGAAGGTGTATTCGAGGCATAGAGAACCTTGTTTTTTTTTTTTTTTTTTTTTTTTTTTTTTTTTTTTTTTTTTTTTTACCAATCATGTAATAGATACATTAAGAAAAATTATAACAAAGATATGTTATATCATCGCGTGGCTTACTTAGTTTAGGTCAGAGTATCTTAAATTTCGCACTGTCTTATTAAATCATCTATATCATATAATATTTTATTATAAGTCAGATATGTACTATTTAAACAGAATTAGATTAAACACAAGGTTAGACATTAACTAAGTTATATGATCAGTGCATTCGACTTTAAGCATTGTTTGTTAATTTAAAAGTAAAAGACAAAACCAATAACATAAAAAAATAATTCAAAAATTACCATATTGTTGTGGTTGGAAATCATTATAGCAAACCCCTTCAAAGACCCATCACAAATCACTATACTAGTTACCCCATTCAGTTAACACCTAGTAAAACTAAGAAACTTTACACCCCAAACAAATGAACACAAAAACAATGAAAATACAAAGAACCACTTGTCTTACTGCAAGACTTCATTAACTTGCTACGACTAGCTTATTATTTGTAGTAGAAGAAGTAATGGGCCTTCATAAATACTTGTTCCTACCAATTTTCTCTCTGAATGCACTTTCTTCTTGGGATGAGGAACTGTCCTTCTCCATAAGAAAGCTCCAACTCATTTGAGCCTTCTTTAATGCTCTGACTCCTCCTTCTACTTCAATTTAATGTCCTCATTTTTTTTTTAAGTTTTTCTTACTGTTTGAGTTTGTACTCCATTAATAAAAGATTGAATTTTAGCCTTCCATTGTTCAATCTAAACTGTGCTTAGTAATTTCTTCTAGGACACCTATTTCTTTTCTTGCTTTCACAATTGTTCATTTTGACCACTTGTCACTTCTTTAGGCCTTGCATCTGGTTTTCACCCCTAAAATAAAAAGTGAGTTTCATCTCTTTCATTTTTTTTTAATTGTACTATAGTTGTATTCAAGTTTTTACATATTTTGTGGTGAATATTGATTTGCAAATTTATTTTGATGGGTCCACAATAATTTGTTCATGTTTATTGTGACTATATATATTTGCATTTTAGTTCATTTTCTTGTTATCCATTTTGGGTTGATTGTGATTTGTGAATAAGAGAAAAGTTTGAAACTTTCTTCTTCTCTTGCTTTAAGTCTCTGACATAGTTGCTTTTAATTTGAAGATTGTTGTGAAAAAGAAGTTGAAGATGAATTTTGGAATTAGTCCTGGAAATGTGGCAGTTCACCATGGAAGTTGCACTGCAAAAGTGGCTGTTGAAAGGAGGATTAAAATAGCAGAATTGGTGTTAAGGGTTTTGATATTAGGGTTGGGTGTTGCTGCTGCTGCTCTTGTTGGCTTAGATAGTGAAGTTAAGGTCATCTTTGCCATCACTAAGAAGGCTTCTTTCACTGACATGAAGTCTCTTGTGTAAGATTTACCTACTTACTTACCCTAATTGAACCCGAGCCTCGGGTTCGATTCTACTTACATTTACTTGGGGTATTGGTACAATGTAGGTAGAATCGAACCCGAGGCCGATGCTCTACCATTGAGCTCCCACTTGATTCTTAAGGAATACTTGCTGAAATTAATTTATTTCTTACCCTTACAATGCTTTTGTGTATTTTCATGTTATATTTTTGTGTAAGTATTGATGTTGTAAGTGTAATTTGATAATCAGGTTCTTGGTGATAGCTAATGGGATAGTTGCTGCTTATTCACTGGTGCAAATAGTGAGGTGCGTTTTGGGAGTGATCAGAGGAAGTGTTCTCTTTAGCAAACCTCTAGCCTGGCTCATCTTCTCTGGTGATCAGGTATACTGATTTACTCATACTGTCTTATGCTTTACATAAGCTTATGTAATTGGTTATATTAGTAGAATTTAATGATAAATGATTTCTATTTGGGAAAAATAGTGACTTTAGGTTAAGAAACTGCTTGATTGTTGCAATTAGGATTGCAAAACTGACTATTGTAGTAGTTGTTTTTTAAATTGAGAAGTAACAGAGCGTTGATATATTAAGTGACAGATAATATTGAAGAAGTAATATAAGTCAAGTAGAAAGTATGTTTATGATCTTGTTAAATTAACAATGCTCAAGGTTAAGTAAATATTTTCTAATCTAAGGAACAAATATGATACAAAATTTGTGTGCTACTTATTAATTGGTATGATTTAGTGGGCCAGACATTAAGTTTCCTTAGGATTACTTCATAACCTATCTTGTCTAGCTTACTGGTCCCTTAGTTCCTCAAGTAATGCAAGCTCCATCACCATTAAAGAAGCATCATAAATTGTACTGACACCCACCGTTATGTACGATTTGAGGGTCCATTGATAAAATAGACTATAAATTTTGTACATTTTCTATAAAGGATTAGTGCAAGTTTGCTTAGTATAGTATTAGAGAGTTCATGTGCCACAAGTTATAATTTTGTTGACAATGGGTTTAAAAATAATTGATGGTTGGGCCCAACGATTTGAACCATTTATGTGCCAGTAGATCAATATGAATCTCTATGTTTGTTAGTGCCTTAGAAGTAAAGGTTGCACTTATAGACCACGCTTAGACATGCTGCTGGTGGGAAGCCTCAGGTGTTCTGTTATGGATCCTATTATCACATTGGCCATTCTGTAATAAATAGTAGATCTTCTTTGTTTAGGAAGAAGAGGATTTGTAACTATAGCATGAATGTGTGATAGTGGTTAAGCCTGAAAGATATCTAGAAAAACTGAATATACAAATGAACAAAAGAAGTGAACTATATTTGAAGGTCCTCATTGTGGCCTTCACTGTTTTTCTGCATGGTCTACCTCCATGTACATGTTTGTGTTTCATAAGAATTTCTAAAGATGGAGGACGGTTCTCCGTTTGTGTCATATAAAACAATTGGAGATTGGGTAACTAGGCTCTAAGTCCCCATACAAATTTCTTAGTGGAGTTTATTCGTCATGCCAATTGCCAAGTCGCTAAGTACCACATTGGGTATTGAGTTAATACTATTAACTCTTTGGTTCTGATGTCTTCTAAAAGGTGCTACATTAGTGATCATTGGGGCACATCTATGAATTAGTATGTTTGTCTAAAATATGAATTAGATAGATCAGGTTAAAATGATGTCAGAATCCAGGATCTTGCTACTAAATCCTGGAAAAGCGAAAAGCAAGTAAATTTCCTAGCAACTTTTTCCAGTAATGTGATTCACAATTACACAGTTATCTTGTAATCTTGATGTGATCTTGCTGTTTCATCTGCAATGTCACCATGACTGCCAGTAATGCAATGGGTGGCCCATGAATTTATTAACTTGATGAAGCATGAGCATTTGCATGAACTTAGATGTATGCTGGTGTAGTAAGTGTCCATATCCTGTGTTAGATATTCTCAAGTCTCAACAAGTATGATGCTTTTCACAGGCCAAGTAACACAACTTTTTTATATGCAGGTTATGGCGTATCTGACCCTTGCAGCAGTAGCAGCAGCTGTACAGTCATCTGTGATTGGAAAGTTTGGACAAGCAGAACTACAATGGATGAAGACATGTGGTTTCTATCCGAAGTTTTGTAATCAAATTGCAGAAGGATTAGCAAGTTCTGTGGTGGTTAGTCTTTGCACATTGATTCTCTCTGGCATCTCGGCTTTTAGCCTCTTTCGCTTATATGGAGGGAACAAAGGGAAGAGCAATACAAGATGGTAGGCGGTAGAATAGGAATGTGTATACATATATATATTATGGCTCGTTTCTGGTGTAGTTTTTATTAATGTAATGGTGACTCAAAAGCATTTTTCAATGCGGAAAATGTAATTCTCTCTAGTAGTTCTAAAATAATATAGGAATAGCTATGGTAAAGCTTAGTCTTATCTTGTGTAATTAAGTGTTTGCTCTTGATGGAAATATTGTTACGAGTTTCAAAGTAGGTTTTGTATTTAGCCATTACGTGCAATCATTTTTCACTTGAATCTTGGTGCTTATGCTCTCCATGCTTTCATGTTTTCTATCTACTCTCTTCTCCCTTAAAAATGCACCATCTTCAACATTTCAATTAAGATTTTTATAGCAATTTATCCTAAAAATTTCACTTTATTAGAGCTAAATCTCAAATCTTTTTTGCAAGACTAGATGAAATTAGTGGTAGTAGGCCTCGTAGCTCGTTAGTAGGCCGGAAGGGTCTTATCTTGTCGATTGCAACTTAAGAACCAAGACCCTCGGTAAGGAAGGTTTTGGAATTTACAGTACCAAAGAGCGGGACATTTAGTTATCCTTGCTTCCCTTGATCCCGCAGCAAATCACATGGTCAACCAAATCACCTGTAGGCTCTAGTATACGAGTGTAGCAGCTTACAAAGATAGAAATACAGACACACTGGCTTCTCTTAAAGAAAACATAAAATTGTAGGCGCTTTGTTCTTAATAATCCATGTAATATTTTCTTTCAATATTTGTTTCACTTTCTTTTTCGTTATAACCTTGCAATTTATTTTACGAAGATTACCCTGTCGTCTAAAATTTCTGCTGTTGGGCATTTCATGCAGAATCATGCACACTTGCAAAAGCACTGCTAATTTATCAACATCATAGACATCCAGGGCTGGAAGCATTGGTTTGTTGCCTCCGTAAATAAGATCAAAGAGGGCATACTTGCCTTAACTCATTTTTCAACAAACCGAAGCAATTTCAATGTAATCTATCTTCCCCTTAGATATTGCCATATTGGTTGTAATTTGAAGCAGAGTTTCTGTTTATCACTTTATCCACCTTTTTATTAACAGTAAACTTATAGTCTCTTTAAATGTTGGGAGGCCTTGAGGCGACAGTTACACCATCTTGCATCTGGAATTTGGGTGGTTCCTAGTGTACTTACCGTCCTCTCCAATATCTTGAAGATGCATAATAGACTACAATCAGACAATTACATAGAGGATAGTTGTCCAAGCCCTCAACTTCAGACAAAATTATTCAACACTTAAAACTGATCAACAGCAAATAATAATTATTAAAAAAAAAAAAAAAAAAAAAAAAAAAAAAAAAAAAAAAAAAACAGAATTGATAGGAGGTTACACATATGATTCAGATAGCTTGATTGTCCATTCTCTTTCCGTATCTGTATCTATTTTCATCGGACCTGCGAAAATTTGCACGAGTTGTGTTGTTTCCAGGTCTCAAACCTCTATAATGATCAGAACTTCTTGACAGTTTATTAGCTTCCTGATTTACTTCATAAGCCTCCTCTTCAATATAATCACACCTTATCACCCCAAACTCCTATAGTATCAACATTGAAAAGTATAAATGTTTCCAATTAGAAACAAAACATTTACAATACACCTTGAAGAATTGACCCTAACGTAAAGGTAGGATACATACCTTTGATTTCATCTTCGAATAGCAGGGTGTCAAGCAAGGGTTTACATCCCTCAGCAGCATGTCAACTGGACTGTCAGGAGTTGTTGGATCATCGTCGCTGAAATCCTGTAATAATTGTTTTGCTATAGCACTTAGACAACAAGGCATATTCCCAAAGAGGAGGATCCAAATTTAAAGTTGTATTGTATCTCACAATTTAAGGTGCATTAGTAAGCTGATAAATCTCAAGGTTAACCTTAAAAGCTTGACCCAAGACAATTGCAAGCATTTGGAATGACAGTCACCTGACTCCAGTCTATCTATCTATGTATAGAGGTTCGATCATAAATAAATACTTTATGTAGTTTGATTGTGAAATATTTTTACATACCAGGGAATTAGCAGCCTCTTCTTGATCATATATTGGTGTCCTTGGTGAGCTAAAATTACCATCAACGCATGAATTGCTTGTATACTTCACTGCCTTCACCTGTATTCACAACAATATCTACTGATCACAATGTGGTATGAAAATATGAAGACAGTAACAAAGCAGTCAAAGATTATTTAAAATATTTAGTTATATAGTCATATATTCACTCTTGTAGTTGTATACCTCTTTCTGAGTTGCATACTTCCAAAATATAGGATACAAAGTTATAAAAGCTCACTAATCAGAATGTTTGGTTATGAACAAGTTATTATGCATAAGCCAAAAGGCAGACTATCCACTCCCATTGAATTTCATACTAAGCCCTTGGGATCTAAAGAACGAGTTATGTGATGCTAAAAGATAGAATCCAATGTGCAACAACTCCCCTCAATTGAAACACTTAATATCCAATTTGCAACAGTTGCAAGTGTCATAGTAACATCCATTAAACTTAAAATATAAAAGCAACCTTAAACAGTATTGGTTAGGATTTAGGAACCATTGAAGCAATGAACACTAAAAACCGAAAGCATTTTTCTATAAAAACGGTTAGGAATCATTGAAGCAATGAGTGTCGAAATGATACCTCTGCAAGGTCTTCTGAAAGGCATTGTAACTGACCCGTGAGGGAAGAAATCTGCCTCTGAAGAGTAGGAATGACTTGCTTAGCTTGCTTGAGTTCAGAGCCTTGTTTCTCTAAAAGCTCTTCAAGTTGAGAATTCATTTCTTCAGGAAACAAGATGGCACTTTTCAGCGCCTTTATTTCTTCCCTTTGTTTCAAGCACAAATTCTTCAACTTCTCTACCTATTATAGTTGAGGCAAAACAAATAAAATGAACACCATGTACTCAACTTCATCATTGTGCAAACTAAACATATCAATATATAGATCAAGTACAATAATGAAGTGATTGTAATTCATTCCGTTCAAATTTGACATTATACAGATCCAAAATTCAAATGCTTATTAACTACATTAATAATAGATTAATAACAGATTAACACTAACTAACTTAGTTGAATAAAGCTTTGAGACATGGAATCAAATCTCATTAAAACCACCACCCTTTGTGGCTCACTTTACACTAAAATTAACATGCACATAGTCAGTCAAGCCAAAAGCAAAGAATTTTTTTTAAAAAAGTAAACTTTACATGGTATCCATCTCTTTCAAGCTTTTCTCTACCCAAAAAAAAGGCAAAATTATCAATAACATGGAATCAGCTTATATTTCATCCAAACTTTTATCAGCAAACTTATTCTAAAAATTCAAACGCTTAATAAAACACATTTACAACAAATTAATACTCGTAATAGACTAATTCGGCTTAGTTGGTTAAAGTCTGAAAGGAGGTCGTAGTTAGTAACCGAGACATGGAATCAAATCTCGTTTAAATCACTATCCTTTAGAATCAAATCTCGTTTAAATCACTACCCTTTAGAATCAAATCTCGTTTAAATCACTACCCTTTATCACTATCTATAAACTAAAACCAACAAGCATATAATTAAAAAAGAGGAAGTGAAAATTACTTCAAGATTGCGTTCTTGGAGCAAAGATTTGAGGTCAGAAATCTGAGCTTCCTGATCTTTATTTAAGGTGAGAAGCTCCCTCTCACTCCTGAGCACCATTGCTAGTGTTCTGGTATTCGTCTTCACTTCCGTCAATGCTTTCACCTTCTTATCGCTCGAATTCGACCCTTTACCAAATAATTTCTTAGGAAGTGCGCTCAAGTTTGAGCCTTTCCGAGCTGATTTCTTCAAATCCTCTGCTATAAAATCAGCTGGAATAATCAGCGGTAATGGGCGATCGCCATTGCTCTTGGTTTTGGAGCTTGAAACTGTTCTCTTCTCCATGAATTTCTTGACCATAGTAGTGAAATTATGGTCGGGTTTGGTGGAATTAAGCTTGGTAATTGCATTGTTTTTGGGGAGGAATGATTTAGGGTTTGGATTGAATTCAGCAGAAGATGATGGTGAAGTTTGGGAATCGAATGAAGAGTAACGAGAAGCAGCTTTTCTATATCCAGAGGATGACATTTGAATATTAGATTGAAGTGAGATAATCAAATTGAATTTGAAATTGAATTGTGGAAAACAACAAACAAGAAAGATAAATAGGGAAATTGGTAGTCTTTTTGACAAGTAGCAGTTTGTTGTCGGGTGGAATTCAAATTGTTGATAGCGCGGGATAATCGATGAGTCGCTATTTGTTTTGTTGCTACTGTATCAGTGTATCTCTATCACTCTTTCTGATAACTGCTACGTTAAGCATCCACCGTTTTCGTAATTGTTGGTCCGTTTAGATTGGGCCTGTCAAGCATTGCATTTTACATGCCCATTAACTATCATTTCAGCTGCCCCTTGAACCAACAATTGCAATGTTTCATACATCTTTCCCAGTTCCTTGATTACTCAAATTCAATTATTAACCAACCCATCTGAATTCGAAAAAATAGTGACCCAAACCCGACCTGAAACCAACCCTAAACCCGAGTTGACCCGAGTATATGAGACTCGAACCCGAATATGAATTGACCTGGAGATGGCCCGACCCAAATGTAACCCGTAAATTATTTACCTAAACCGAACCCGACTTGAACCGAACTTGACCCAAACCCATTTTAACCCGTCAAAATCCGAATTTAACCCGACTTGTTATTAACCTGACCAAAATTCAACCCAACCCGACCCGTTCCTAACCCGACCTGAATTTAACCCAACCTGTTACAAACCCGACCCGAAATCAACCTGACTTGTTATTGACCTGACCCAAATTAAACTCGAATTGTTATTGACCCAACCTGAATTTTACCAGAACTGTTACTTACCCGACCCAAAAATTCAACCCGGTCTGTTACTAACGCGACTCGAAATTAAAACGACTTGTTATTGACCTGACCTAAATTCAACCCAAATTATTCCTGACCTGATTTCAAATCACCTTAAATGCAATTTAGACCACCTTATTATTGTTGATCAAAGCATTTTGTCTAGGGATATCAAGTCGGTCCGGCCAACAAAAGAAAGGAGCATCATCCTCAAATTTAAGAGTTAAATATAGTATATATTTTTTGTATGGTCAAAAGAGATAATAATCTTCCTAAATTATAGACTATAGTTCCCTAGTATATTGCTATATATATTATAGTCAAATGAAATAATTAGCTTGATAAAAATGATAATTATCTATTTATACTTAAATGAACCCGAATATGACCTGACTTGGAAATGACCCGATCTGATTGTAACGTACAAATAATAGACTTCAACATAACCCGACTTGAATCCGAGAATGACCCGACTTGGAAATGACTCAACCTGATTATAACCCACAAATTTTTTACTTGAACCGAACTTGACTTGAACCCGAGAATGACCTGACTTGAAAATGACCCAACCTGATTATAATCTGCAAATTATTGACTTGGACCGAACCCGACTCAAACCCGAGAATGACCCGACCTGATTCTAAACTGCAAATTATTGACTTGAATCGAACCAGACTCGAACCTGAGAATAACCCTAACCCGTGAAAACTCGAATTAAACCCGGCCTATTGTTCACCCGACCCGAATGTAACCCGACCTGTTATTAACACGACCTAAACCCGACCAAAACCCGATAAGAAGTATGACTCGACTCAAGCATGACCAAACCAAAACCCGACCAGAATAGGTTATGGATTTAATCTGAATTGACCCGACTCGAGTTGACCAGACCCACTCTAACCGACTCAAACCCGACCTGTTTACGCGAATTGACAACTCTACCCGAAACCTCCAAAATTTCTCAAAAAGCCTAGATATTAGCCTTCAATTTTGGTTTTTTTTTTAATATATATTTTTTTAATTTTTTTCACCCGGAAATAAAAATTACCGAAATGTTGACCATGGTCCCTAATATCCTCCGGGAGTCCAATTGGGTGGGTGGAACCATCCAATTTGCCTTTAAATAACTAATTTACCGGTTTTATAACTTGTACCGATTTCATTAATTCAAGCCTACCACGAACATTTATGACAACAAATAATGATCATATATGGTTCCAAACGGCATTATATGACCCCGAGATGTATCCCATAGAATTTCAAGAATTTTCGACACCAGGCCCAAAAACTTCCAAAATTTTCTCAAAAAGCGTGGATATTAGCCTTAAACTTTGGAATTTTTTGACTTTTTTTCGCCCGGAAATAAAAATTGTCGAAATGTTTACCATAGTTCCTATTATCCTCCGGGCGTCCAATTGGGTGGGTGGAACTATCCAATTTGCCTTTAAACAACCAATTTATCGATTTACAACTTGCACCAATTTCATTAAATCATGCCTACCACGAACATTTATAACAACAAATAAAGATCATATATGGTTTGCAATGACATTTATATGACCCCGAGATGTATCCCCTAAAATTTCAAAAAATTTCGACACCGGGCCATGAAACCTCTAAAATTTCTCAAAAAACGTGGATATTAGCCTTCAATTTTGAAAATTTTGACTTTTTTTCGCCCGGAAATAAAAATTACTGAAATGTTTACATGGTCCCTAATAACGTCCGGGAGTCCCATTGGGTGGGTGGAACCATCCAATTTGCCTTTAAACGGCTAATTTATCGGTTTACAATTTGAATCGATTTCATTAACTCAAGCCTACCATGAACATTTATGACAACAAATAATGATCGTATATGGTTCCAAACGGTATTACATGTCACAGAAATGTATCCTCTAGAATTTGAAAACTTTTCGACTCCGGATCTCGAAACTTCCAAAATTTCTCAAAAAGAGTGGATATTTACTTTCAATTTTGGAATTTTTTGACATTTTTTTCTCCCATAAATAAAAATTGGCGAAATGTTTACCATGATCCCTAATATCCTCCAGGAGTACAATTGGGTTGGTGGAACCATCCTATTTGCCTTTAAACGACCAATTTACCGATTTTTAACTTGCACGTATTTCATTAACTCTAGTCTACTACGAACATTTAAAACAACATATAATGATCATATATGGTTCCAAACGACATTATATGACCCCGAGATGTATCCCTTAAAATATCAAGATTTTTCTATACGGGCCCCGAAACCTTCGAAATTTCTCAAAAAGCGTGGATAGCCTTCAATTTTGGAATTTTTGGACTTTTTTCGCCCGAAAATAAAAATTGCCGAAATATTTACCATGGTCTCTAATACCCACCGGAGGTCCAATTGGGTGAGTGAAACCATCCAATTGCCATTAAACGGCCAATTTACCGGTTTACAACTTGAACCGATTTCATTAACTCAAGCCTACCAAGAACATCTATGACAACATATAATAATCATATATGGTTCCAAACGGCATTATATGACCCCCAGATGTATTCCTTAAAATCTCAAGACTTTGATACACCGGTCCCCTAAACCTCCAAAATTTCTCAAAAAGCATGATATTAGCCTTCAATTTTGGAAATTTTTGACTTTTTTTCGGCTCGAAAATGAAAATTGATGATATGTTTACAAGGTCCTTAATACCCTCTGATAGTCCAATTGGGTGGATGGAATCATCCAATTTGCCTCTAAACGGTCAATTTATTGGTTTAAAACTTGCATAGATTTCATAAACTCGAGCCTACCACGAACATTTATGACAACAAATAATGGTCATATATGGTTCCAAACGACATTATATGACCCCGAGATGTATTCCCTAGAATATCAAGGTTTTTTCGTTACCGGGTCCGAAACCTCTAAAATTTATCAAAAAGCGTGGATATTAGTCTTTATTTTTGGAATTTTTAGACTTCTTTCGTTCGAAAATAATAATTGCCGATATGTTTACTATGGTCACTAATACCCTTTGGGAGTCCAATTGGGTGGGTGGAACCATCCAATTTGCCTTTAAACGACATATTTACCGGTTTATAACTTGCACTGATTTCATTAAATCAAGCCTACCACGAACATTTATGACAACAAATAATGATCAAATATGGTTCCAAATAGCATTATATGATCCCGAGATGTATCCCCTAGAATTTCAAGACAATTCGACACCGGACCCTGAATTCTCCAAAATTTCTCAAAAAGCGTGGATATTAGCCTTCAATTTTGAAAATTTTGACTTTTTTTTCGCCCGAAAATAAAAATTGCCGAAATGTTTACCATGAACCCTAATAATTTCCTAGAGTCCAATTGGGTGGGTGGAACCATCTAATTTGCCTTTAAACAACCAATTTACCAGTTTACAACTTGTACCGATTTCATTAACTCAAGCCTACTATGAACATTTATGACAACAAATAATGATCATATATGGTTCCAAATGGCATTGTATGACCCCAAGATGTATCCCCTAGAATTTTAAGACTTTTCGACACCGGGACCCGAATTCTCCAAAATTTCTCAAAAAACGTGGATATTAGCTTTTAATTTTGGAATTTTTTGACTTTTTTTCGCCCGGAAATAAAAATTGCTGAAATGTTTACCATGGTCCATAATACACTCCGGGATTCCAATTGGGTGCGTGGAACCATCCAATTTGCTTTTAAACGACCAATTTACCGGTTGACGACTTGCACTGATTTACCGATTTACAACGGCCAATTTAATTAACTTGCACCGAACCCGACTTGAACCAAACTTGACCCAAACCGTTTTAACCTGTTAAAGCCTGAATTTAATCCGACTTGTTACTAACCTGACCTGAATTCAACCCGACCCGTTCCTAACCCGACCGAATTTAATCCTACCTGTTACAAACCCGACCCGAAATCAACCCGACTTGTTATTGACCTGACCCAAATTCAACCCGACTTGATATTGACCTAACCCGAATTTTACTAGGCCTATTACTTACCCGATCCAAAAATTCAACTTGATCTATTACTAACCTGACTCGAAATTAACACGATTTGTTATTGACCCGACCTAAAATCAACTCAAATTGTTCTTGACCCAATTTCAAATCACCTTAAATGCAATTTAGACCACCTTATTATTGTTGATCAAAGCATTTTGTCTAGGGAGACCAAGTCGGTCCACGCCAGCAAAAGAAAGGAGCATCATCCTCAAATTTAAGAGTTAAATATAGTATATATTTTTTGTATGGTCAAAAGAGATAATAATCTTCCTAAATTATAGACTATAGTTCCCTAGTATATTGTCATACATATTATAGTCAAAGGAAATAATTATCTTGATAAAAATGATAATTTTCAACTTATAGTTAGTTGAACCCGAATATGACCTGATTTGGAACTGACCCGACCTGATTATAACCTGTAAATTATTGACTTGAACATAACGCGATTTGAATCCGAGAATGACCCGACTTGGAAATGACCCAACCTGATTATATCCCGCAAATTATTGACTTGAATCGAACCTGAGAATTACCCTAACCCGTTTTAACTCGTGATAACTCGAATTAAACCGACCTATTGTTCACCCGACCCGAATGTAACCCGACCTGTTATTAACCCGACCTAAACCCGACCCAAACCCGATAAGAAGTATGACCCGACTAGACCTGACTAAAGCATAACCCAACCCAAACCTGACCCGCATAAGTTATGGAATTAATCCGAATTGACCTGATCCGAGTTGACCTGACCCACTCTTACTCGACTCAAACCCAACCCATTTACCCGAATTGACAGCTCTAATAGGCAAGAATCGATCCATGATCTCTTCCAATCCAGATTGAAACTTTAACCACTTAATCTATCCCTTACTCTCAATTACAAACTATTACTCCGTATCAAGCATATTCAAATATCAATATTGGTTGTACAGTGTCAATTGTAGGACACGTGTATATTATACTCGTATGTGTCATGTTGTTTGTATTTACATTGTAATTGATTGTTTTACTAGTACATTGTTGTACAACCATTAAGGTGGCTAAGGGTCTATTCTCAGGTTATTTTTTCAGTTCATTTTCTAATTTCCTTATCTAATAAAATATTCAGTTTAGTTCAACTTAACTTAGCTCCAATCTCTAAAAGATTAGTCAAATTATTAATACACTATTTGTATATTAAATTATTAGACGGTCATAAATTCAACTCTAATATCAATACATTCTCTTTCAATTCATTAAAATGTCAAAATGTTGCAAATCTCATCTTAGAATAGAAATAACAGAGAGATTATTTATGGTGAACACATATGAATGTCACCCCTAGTATGCTAGTACCTATCGTTCCCCACCGAACAGACATTTACAGACGACAGTTGATGAAACACTGTTTGCTGAGTTTGAAGTTGCATGATATGATATGATGTTTTTTCATATCTAAATCAGCTCACTCGTCAGCAGTATAAAACCACTGAGTTTTTGCTTGATTTCTAACCTTATCTGCCTCATTACAAGAATCATGAATCAATCCATTAAAATTAAGCATACTTTATAATTTTCTAATTTTCTAGGGCTTCTATTGATAAGTTATTGTTGGCCGTCAGCTTCAAGAAAAGAGAAGCAATTCAATGGGTCGTTCTCGTGTTTTTCATTCTGATGAAGACCCAACTCAAAGGTCTATTCTTCCCCTTTTTGTTCAATTATTTTCTGTCAAATTTCTGTCTTATCCTTTCTTTATTTGATTCAAAGTTGTGATCTTTGATTAATTAAAGCTGTTTAGTTTATTTCTAATTGTTCTGCCAAAATTTGTTAATTTGTTGAGTTATATTATGTTGCTTGATTAGTTGTTTTGGTTTTTTTTATTTTGTCTTCATTAAGATTATTGAATATGGCTATAGATGATCAATTAGTAAAGTTAATATTTTGATTGTGAACTGAGAATCATCATCTTGCTCGATTATTTTGTGCTGGGTTGTGGTGAAGTAAATGGCTCTTGTTAGTGGAGTTTATAAGCTTTTTATTTACAAGTTCATGTTCTTCTGCCTTTCATAGTTAACATTACCAAAGAAATTACTTCGTAGGTTGCAATTAACTGATACTGCTGCTTACTGCTAAGTATTCCTTTATATCAACGGTTTGCTGTTCTTTATTGATCCACTGATCCTTAAATGAAAGAAATTATTCCTTTGTCTTATTTTAATTTGCATAATGTGATCAAATGACTGTAAATAGGGGAGTGTAGATGTTATGGTTTCTATATTTGCAGGTAAACTATGACTTTTGTATACTTGGTTGGCTTGGAAATTTGTAAAACTCATCTGTAGTTTCTTTGCAGGTCAAGAAGGAAAAAGAATGTCTCTAGTGGAGAAAGTATAGAATCTGCTCTTGGAGGTATTTACTTTTGCCCCAAGACAGCTTATTAAACAGGTTTAGCCTGAAATATGTGAGCACTTGAAAAGAGAACATTGCTTATGAAGTTAAATTCTACTTACAGTAGCGACAAAATGGTTTATATGGTAACATTCAGGATTATAGTTATTACAGATATTAAAGCATATTCATAGGCTTACTTGAAAGTGAATAAGACATAAGTATCTGTATTATATGGCCAATCATTCTCAGATGGTAAGACCCGACTTTGTATAGGAAATTACAATAATGGGTAAGATGGGATACGTGTAATAGGAATGTAATTTCCTTGATATTACCTACACTACATTATTTAGCTATGCGATGTTGGCTTATTCACTTGGCTTGTTTATTAGTTGCTAAATTTTACGGACTCTTTTAGTACATCAGTAGCATTGATTGTTAGTATAAATGTTCGGTAAAACATGTTAGATATTAGCCATTAATAATGTTAATATACAAAATAGCCAACTTTTGCACAAAACAGTTGTTTAAGCTGACTAGCCTTTTCCTTTCAGGCCAAAAAATTGGCTTTTGAAATAATTGAAATACTGAACATATTTCTTTGGTTGTTTATCCACACTTAAAGCTACCCACAAAGATGGCAACAAGCTATTTGCCAAAATTTCCATATTCTGTATCTTATAACATTTTAACATACATAATTAAGCTGTTGGTTTATTTTCTGGCGAGTCAGGGCAAGGGACAGGTGATGGAAAGAAGGCTTTATACCATTGCAACTACTGCAATAAAGATATTACCGGTCGAATTCGTATCAAATGTGCAATGTGTCCCGATTTCGACTTGTGCATAGAGTGCTTCTCTGTCGGAGTTGAAATGACTCCTCACAAAAGTAATCATCCTTACAGAGTTATGGTCAGTAATTCTTCATTCTGTATATGTGTTGGTACTCTAAAGTTCCATCTTTTCGTTCCTTAAGTATGTTAATTAATATGAATATTGGTGATTGTTGCTTGAGCATAAATTCTTATATTGAGGCTGCTGGTGACTTGTGATTCATATCTTCATGACAGGATAGTTTATCCTTCCCGTTGATTTCTCCTGATTGGAATGCAGATGAAGAGATACTACTCTTGGAGGTGTTGAATTCTTTCAAGCCTTTCTAGTTGAGTTGCATAGTCTTTAGTGTTGTTTTTAATCATTGCTAAGGATGGAGGGATTACCATGTGTGTGATTGCATCCTCTTACTTTTGAATATTTTGCTCAAAGGGGCTTGAAATGTACGGTCTTGGAAACTGGGCTGAGGTTGCGGAGCATGTGGGCACAAAGAACAAAGAGCAGTGCATTAACCACTACAGAAGTGTGTACCTGAATTCACCATTTTTCCCTCTCCCGGTAAGGAGTAACGATATGGATCAAATTCAGTTTATTTATCTCCACTTTTCTTGTTTTACCCCCCTGTAAAATTAAAATAGTCACGTTTTACTTGTAGGACATGTCTCATGTTGTTGGTAAAAACCGGAACGACCTTCTTGCTATGGCAAAGGAAAACGATGAAGATAGAAAAGGTTTGGGTTATTATTCATGAATATATTTAATTTATATATGTATGCCTGCCTATTTGGTTATATGATATATCTCACTTATGAGCTTTTGCTGGCATTTTAATTCATCTATATCAAAAGATTAGCATCAAATTGATGACTTCCTCAAGTTCAAGTATCAAGGAGATTATTATTCACTAATTCCTGCTAAAAATTAATTTTCTAATGTTAAGGTAAAACTTTGTCACATCGCTTGACATGAGCCACAATGATTAAGTGTAGTACTAGGATGGGTGACCACTTGGGATGTCCTCTCGTTGTTTCATGTAACCGACCCTACTTATGGGATTAAGGCATTCAAGCAGAAAAAGGTCTAGAAAGAAAGTTTATGGGCTATTGCCTTTATAGGAATCAAGATCAGGTCATATGACAAGGATATTACAGCTTCCCCAGAACTTGTGATTGATTGCCAGTAGTAAGACAACTTTTCACTGTGATCATGAGGACTTGGACTGGTGATTTCTTTTCTGTGCTTGAATTTTGAGTCAGACATGCCAATTGCTGCGTGATTTTGATTTATATAAGAAGTATATTAAAGATAAAAGATGGGCAAAATGGGGTTGATCTCTGCTGAAATTGTGTGCATATGATTCTTGCAGGTTCAACTCTATTTGGTGATCATATTGTGAAAACAGAGCCTACATTTTCTCCTTCCAGAGTCAAGTATGCATATTACTCCTCATATTGTTTAATGCAGGCCTGTTACCAGGACTCTTATGCCATACCTTTCAAATATATTTGACAGAGTTGATGAATTGCCAAAAGGAGGTCCACCGAGCCGCTTATTATCCGTGCAAAATGCAGGTAAAGCAATTCTTTCTTACAATGTGATCTGAAAGACAAAAATAAATATGATATTTATTGATGAGAGTTGTGCCAATTGTCAAACCTACATCGTAATTGACTTGAGTAAAAATCTTAGGTAGGTCACCTATTGCTTTTATTTTTTCTTGTGCCAATTACTTTAAGAACAGCTCTCTTATATTTAATTCTCTTTGCCTCTTAAATACTAGAAAGTGGTATCGTAAGAAGCATGGAATTATAGATAAGATGACCTAGTATAGAGAGATTCATATGCATGTCCAAAACTCTAGATGATTTTGCTAAGGCCTTTTAAGATCCCAACTGTTCAGATTGTACTTTCTCACATGTAACATTATCTGAATCATTTCCATTTCTGCAGCTGAGCAAGTCATTTTCTTAATCATGTGTTTCACAAATTTTGCCTTCAAAACACAGATTCTCATGTAAATCCTATTGGAAAGAAACCTCCAAAGGAGGAAGATTCCTCCTTGGTGAGTTTAAGCGGGTTCAGCCTTAAACGCCATGAATTTGATCCGGAATATGACATCGATGCTGAGCAGCTTCTTGCAGAGATGGAATTCAAGGATGCTGATACTGAAGATGAGCGTGAATTGAAGTTGCGAGTGCTGCGCATTTACTCAAAAAGGTAAGTGATTCACTTCATCATCATTTTACATTACTCTATTGTTCTGGAAATTTTTATTAAACTCATGGAAATATTTGTATGTTCATCAATTATACAATTGTACTTCGTTTATAGTAAGAAGTTGGTATAATTTCAAAAGGAAAACATCTTTATATGTACAGATTTATTCCATTCTTGTCTATCAATCAAAAATAGCTCATCCATACATAAATGCAGTACATTTTATTGGATATTAATGAGCTTGATATATTACTCAATGTAAAATGAGTATAAAACTATAAATATACGAGGGCTATATATGAGGGCTTAATTTACTAGGAGGGAAATATATACCACAATGCATATAGAAGAGGCATTGAAAGAGAACATAGGCTTTTCTAAAATTACCATCTTCAATGGAAGTTTAACTATAACCTTTTGCTTGACTAACAAATGAAAGTGCAATACTTAACTAGAAAATGTAGTTGTTAGCCTGTTTATGACTAGATCCAACGATGAGTCGATGACACTCAGACCAATAGGTCACACTGTATCAATAGAGCTTGTTGTCCGATCAAGCTACATCATGTACCAACTACTTTAACAAACATCTCAAGGTTTTTTTACCGTAGCTACCTAATTTTGTCTCCCCTCAATCTTATTGTATCCTTAATTGTATAAGCATCAATATCTGTTGTTGCCTCTCTTTCCTTCTGATCTTGTGTATTGGAAGTGTCAGACAATCAGACCTAGATCAGTTAATGTAGGTTTCTATGAGCAAATTCTTAGAGTCTGGAATACTGGATTATATCATTGTAAGCAACTGTGAAGAAAATTGGAATAAATAATTGGATAGTGACAAAAAAAAAGTGTTAGGGAAAACCAACTTTTATGACAGCAGGGGACGCCCCTCACATTCACATTAATTATGGGGAAAATTCCCAAAATTTGTCTGAATGCATGAATTATAGCCTCCAATGATTTTTTTTTTCCTTCACTTTTTCGGGCTCAAATTGAAAAGAGGACAAGGTTCTTCGTATGAACCCTAAGACACCCTGGGAGGGCATTTGAATGGTAGGAAGTTAGGTACCATCCACTTTGCCTCTTAGCTTTAATATAGCCAATTACATACACGCCTTATCTCATTAACTCAAGGACATACGGGCCTTTATGTGACCAATTAGTGGCCTTTATGATTTCAAACCAACTTTTATGACCTCGTGGGGGCATCCTTCATATTTACTTTAATTTTGGAAAAAATTCCCAAAATTGGTCCGAAAGTGTGAATTAGCCTTCAATTCTGGACATTTTTCCACTTTTTTGGGCTACAAAAGAAAAGGGGACAAGGTGCTTCCCATGGACCCTATGGGACGTCACATTTAGATGGTTGGAACCTTCTACTTTGCCTCTAACTTTAGCCAGTTATGTACACGCCTCCTTTCATCAACTCAATGACACTAAGGGCATTTATGTGACCAATTAATGGCCATATATGGTTCCAAACAACGCTATATATTTCCCTATCATCACTTGAGTTTTCGACTCCGGATCCTAAAATCTCTGAAAATGGTTCAATTTCATGTATTATAGCCTCCAAATTTAGTCATTGGAGAACATTTTCGGACCTGTCAAGGTTAGGATCGAGGTGCTTCTCGGGGTTCCCAAAAGAGTCCTGGGAGGCCTACTAGGTGCTAGGAACTATTTCATTCATGCCTTGGCCCAATAAATATTTTCGGGACACCACAAATCTAAGAGGGTGAAGTTCATCTTGAGACAAAGGGCCTAACTTATATATTCATTTTATGGTACCTGAAATTGATACTCAGAGTTAGACCATCTTATAGTCATATTGCACTGGCACCAATTAACACTTTTCAATTTTGATAACTTGCTTTAGCCCCTATCAAAACTCTTTAGACTATCAATTTGTATTTAATTTATTTTCGCTTTGGTTTGAAAGGCAGAGAGGATAAAAAGGTTATTAATTCTGTTTGCACAGGCTTGATGAGAGAAACAGAAGAAAGGATTTCATTTTTGAGAGAAATTTGCTTCATCCCAGTCCTTTTGAGAAAGATTTGTCTCCTGAAGAGAAGGCAATATGCCGCCGATATGATCCATTCATGCGGTTCCATTCTAAGGAAGAGCACGAAGATATGCTACAGGCTGTCATTGCAGAACACCGCACTCACAAGCGAATTTTGGAACTTGAGGTAAAGTAAAGCTCAATCAGCTACATGTATAACAAGTCAAATCGAGTTTGAGCTATCTAGATTCACCCATCTCTTCAATATTGAGGTAATTCTTGGTTTGGACTTTGTTGAGTGGACTTAAGTTTACAAAGCCTTGGGATCCTGAAACCTCAGGCTTGCTTGTAAACACCAAAGACTTAACAAGTTTAACTTGATTTTTGTTTTGTTTTGTTTGTGTTTTTTTTTTTTTTTTTTTTTTAAACAGATTTTTGCGTTTCTTTTATTGTTAGTTACTTATATACATTAATTGAGACTGCTTTATGTAAAACAAAAACTGATTTTCTATTCCCTACCTGGAAAATATGATTGTGATGACTACTAATAAGTCTTAGAACAAGGAATTTCAAATTATCTTCTCTTTTTAGTTCTTCTCAGATGAGCCACTAAGATAAATTTCATCCCTAGAGATTGTTTCTACTTTCTGGTTTTACCCTTGTTTTGTAATGCAACAATGATCTGGTTTTTGGCAGTAACAAGCCTTTTTTATTATTATTAATTATTCAATATATTACGGAGTATAAACCAAAGCCAAATAGGGTCTTCGTCCCTTGCTAAAAACAATGAGACTCTTTATCAGTAGCTATTGTGAAGTGATTACGTTGATTCCTTTGATGAATGTAGGAAGCTCGAGCTGTTGGTTGTCGTACATCTGCTGAGGCAGATAAGTATTTTGAGCTTAAGAGGAAAAGAGAAGCTGAAGAAAGTTCCCGTAGAGCAAAAGAGAGTGCTCAACTTGGTCCAGCCAGTCAGTTAGGACAAAATGCTGCTATGACCTCTGAAACTGTGAAGGATCCAGGTTCGCTAATACATGAGTTAGATATAGGAAGATATCCGGGTGAAGAATTGCTTTCTGAAGCTGTAAGTTTATTTTCTAGCTTATACCACCACCACCCAACTTTTATGAGTACTCATAAATCATAATCTCTTTATATACTCTAGAAAGTCTCACTTCTTAATTTTTGAAAACCTTGCCAGGAAAAGCAGCTCTGCCATGAGACCAAGATATCCCCGCATCAGTATCTGAAGATGCAGGAGACCATATCTGTTAAAATCTTCAGCGGCAATGTAACTAGTAATGTGGATGCACACTGCCTGTTTGATATTGAACCAGGCAAAATCGACCGTATATATGATATGCTAATAAGAAAGGGTGTTGCTCCGCCATAAGAAGAGATCATAGTTTTACCATCACCACAGGTTGTTTGTAATTGTTACAAGAAGGATTCCATCCACATAAACGCAATAGGGTACAAAACTTTGCTTTTTTAGACCACAGGATATGTCACCATGATAAATCAGCTTTACAGTTATCTTGCGTTCCCCTTAACACACCCCCTCCTTTCAAAGCTTCGATCTTCCCTGTTGTATTATATGTCTTATCTTGTTTACCAATAATGTAATCATATAATAATCTGTCTTTACTTTTTCTGTTTGTTTGTTTTGTGATGATTCAGAATAATCAAATTAGATGACCAAATAAAGCCTTTATATTTTACTATTTTAGGTTGTCCAGAATAAATTGTCATATTTCCCAATTTAGCAGTACTTATAAGTGAAAAAGATATTAACAGAGTAACAAAATTTAAAACATATTGACTTGAGTATAACATAATGTAGAAAAAGACACATACTTGCAAATGTTGCAACTTGATATTAATACCTTCCGAGAGTTTAAATACTCCTAAATTAAATAACAAGACTAGAGACTTGTTTCAAGCTACAATAGTACTTAAACCTTTTCACTATTGACAAGCATAAATAAAAAGCTGTATTTCTTTCTGCAGTGAGCTCTTCAACGTTTGAACTCAGACCCCCTCAAATAGATATGTCCAGCTTCTCTATACACCACCCCAAAATTCCACAACTAAAAAAATTCCGGCTAACTCTCCAGCATTGCTGATTCCTTCCTCAGTTGCTTTCTTTCTTCTGTCTATGCTATTTACAAAATATGCTACTTACATTCACATTACAAAAATTGCATCACCTCACGCTGGCTTCCACAAATTTTTCCTGTGTATATTGCTGCCTGCAAAATTCAAAATCCTTTTCGGCACTCAGCCTCTCACCTTTAGCCACTACTCCAACATCATAGTCAACATGATCTTCCTTTAGTTGCTCATCAACCTCAGCATCAGAATTATCCTTTTTGTTTGATGGACTTCTGCATGTTGTATTGTCTGCAACATCTGCAAGTACAGGCTTCTGCATGTTCACAACAGGTGCATCTTGCCCTTCTTCGACTTCCACAACTTCTGAAATAGGAGGCATGGCATAATCAAGCAAGCGTGAATTTGACTTGGCAGAGATAGAGGAAAGAATGTCAGGGCATGTCTTTGCAGTAACCCATGAACCATTAACCCAATCTTTGGCGGTTCTTATAAGTGATTTCTCTGTGGTCACATATCTGTCTTCACCTGATTACAAGAAAGCACCAATCAAATCATAATTGATAGTCCAGCTTTGTAGATAGTTAGAGGCCAGGTATACTGAAGAAAATGAAACCCCTTCCCAAATGCCAACTTAAAACTAGGTTATAAACAAGGCTACTTTAATTTAGAAACTGAAATTTTGAGCATGAAAATTTCATAGCCCAAATAATATATACGTATGATAAAATTCCATAGCATGAAAATTCCATAGCCCAAATAATATATACATATGATAAAATTCCATAGCATGAAAATTCCATAGCCCAAATAATATATACATATATATATTTCACTCAATTTCAGTGCCTAGTAATAGAAATGAGCCACTAAAATTGCAAGTTTCAAAACATAAATCTCGCACCAAAGTTCAGAGTTACAAAAATATATATATTTGCAGATAAAAGCAATCTATCGTACTCAAATTTCCAAGTCCTAGCCAAGATCAAAAGGAGTGAATGATGGGGAGCGAGTGAGTGACTATGAAAAAATTAACTGGTGAGAATGCAGGAAAAACTAAGAAGCGTCTTAGAACAACAGTGTCATAAAGTGTGAGGGAAAGTGGTGAAGAATTGAGAATTCCATTAGTTATTCCATTCTGCTATGTGTTGTATGGTTTGGGCCGCTTGAGCCATTTTCATACCTGGACGGCTTCTCAACAATATCTTACATAATGACTTCGCCAGAAGCTTCATGAAGTAGTGCATACATCAATTATAGACTGACTCTGCAGGGTTTGCTATAGCTCACCCTCAATCTTTACAATGCCAATATAAGTTAACAAAATGATGCAGTCTTATACTCTTCTCTTACATAACCCCCTTACTCAAATGGTAGGCCACTACAATGTTTAGTGAATGTTTAATCCTCTGATTGATCTATTATATGAACAAGATTTGTTTTAGGGAACTAAAAAAGTAAAAAGTAACTTTCTCTTTTTAGTTCATAAGACTTATAAGAGTACCAGATAGCTCCATTTAATCTTCGAAGGACACAAAACCCTCATTTTGTCAAATAATCTAAGAATTACATAATGATCACCTTTTAACTTGCTAGATATCATGTTGACTTGCATAGGAAACCCCTACATTCACGCATCAGAATAGCACATGTTTCTAGTAAGATGTCAAATACATAAACCTAGTCTGCAATCAAATTCGGTGCATTGACTCAATTTGAGGCCAGAGACAGGCTAGACTAAGTGAGACCAATCTTATCTTAAAACAGGGTTTTTGATACACAGCAAAATCTGCAGATATTCAACTCCTTGTATGGATTAAGAGCACATCACCAATTTGGTGGTATTGTCAACTTCACACAATTCATTCTCCTATAAATTGTTCTAATGATTGCAAGATCTTTTGATCAAAGCTCATATATGAGTGTTGGGTTTAAGGAAGACATTTAAGTGATTGCTCCTGATGTCTCTTGGTTCTAGTGGGCAGTGATTAGAGCAGGGACAGATGTTTACATAGGTTAGTGTCAATGACAATTACATAACAGGAGCACATAGTTTTTGTTATAAATATAGAGTTTATCTAGGAGGAAGGGTAAAGTGCCAGATAGGAGGCAGGAAACCACACATTGAAGGCTACAGGAATAGAGCGTACCAGGCAGGTAAATTTGAAGGTGGTCAGTCCCACATACATTTGCAGTGATGATGACCCCTTCCCACCAGCCATCATGCCACCAAATTTCTACTGCTGTTCCCACCTCAATTATGCAGTCATCAGGGTCCTTAGGTGGACGTGGACGAGTTGTGAGACGGCCAGAGCATCTCAGACCCATTTTATCAGGAGCTGCCACTCTATATGAAGCAACCCACTCCTGGCACACACATCACAAGTTATTCTCAGTATCCCGTCTTTATAAAATCCAGAGGTATTTCATCAAATTAAAAGAAAAAAAAAAGAGGGGGTGGAGGGGTGGGGTTACATATGTTTAAAGCAATAACTAGCGAACATGCAGGGACCAAGATAAGACCATGTAAAACACGTGATATTCTACAAGAAACTCTTCTTCAGGAAACATTATGCAACAAACTTGGGTATCATTCTTGAATTTTCTTGTTATTTGTCAAATTCATTTCAGAAAGTATTGACTTTTATACACACAAACATCTAGCACATCTATATACAATTTTTGTTGTTTCTAATTATGCACTCTTGCAGTAGATTAACCACCACAAGGGACCTATTATTTTTTGAGGGGGATGGGGTTAAAGCAACTATATGTTTAGCTATTGGATTGACGAATATTAATTTATAAATGTCCTTTCAGGGCAAATTTAGTCCCCATTAAAAGGTATTATATGAATGCATTAAGTTCATATATTACCTGCAATTTCCCAAAATCTTCAGGATCCTCCAGATCATCATACTGAACTTTGATGTGCTTCCTGGAGATCTCTAAGACCTTGCATTTGAACCAACATCCTCGGATACCACTATCCTGAGAAAGTAGCTCTATCTCATCATTGATTCCAAATGAAGCAGAAACCTCATCATGATGACTTTCTACAAAATCTCCATGCTTCACTGTTTTCCCAGCAAACTTTATCTTCAGCTTTGAAAATGATGGCACAACTTTTGTTTTTTGACTCCCTGTTGCTGAAGGACTCGTCTCAGCTCTATTATGACCCCTTAATTGGATGTCTCCAATCTTTCTCTCATCAAGTCTCTTTCTTTTACTATGCTCCTTGGTCTTCTTCTTGGAGAAAAGGATATGATCTATACAGGACAAAACTGCTTGATTACGATAACCCTGTAATTTGCTTACAGTGAAAGGTCTGATCTGATCATTTTTTAACTGTCTGAAGCACAAATGTACCCTGCATAATATAGACTGTGGAAGAGCAGCCACACATTGCTCATAATGTTTGGGGGTTAAGACAGAAGCAGGTCCGCCAATGCACTCTGCATTTATTACTTGGACATGAGGTGTAATGAATACTTCTCTAGGGTGGGCATCCAGCTGAGACACTAAACTTGTGACCTCTTCATCACGATGAAACCACCGCACTTTAACCTTCTTTTGCCTCTTTTTATCCTCATACATGTCTTCTAAGTAACCAAGGTAAGGATTACCTTCTGCAGCCATGACGAACACAAAAGAATGCACCTGCATCATGCATCAGAAACTAATAGGCTAAGTCCAATGATAGAAAATTAATGACAGGAGGATACAATGTTCAGATAGATGCTTACGGAAATGGTAATTCCAGTTCGGATAAAGGAAGGATAATGCATGAGTTTTTTGGAACAAGCCCAACCTTCCCCATTCCACACAATATCAGATATTTGGGCCTTCAATTTCCTAGGAAGCTGGACAAACAAGAGATCAGTGGTTAGCAAAGAAAAAAAAAGGAAGAAATACCTATCATAAATTCATAATAGTTACAAGTCAACCTCATTAAAATAGGGTAAAGTAAGTACCGTCACAGGTGCATGAGAAATTAGAGTGCCATTGGATCCACGTATTCGATCTTGAAAGCGTTGAGCACAAGCCAATGACTCTGACAAAATTATCAACATTAATAACACGGGTCACTAAAAGAAACAGCACAACACGAGACATCGTAAAAACAATGACATGCAACCAGATCAATCTGGATTCTGGAACACCAGAAATAACTCCCAGACATTTTGATAATGCATAAAACATCAAGGTAGTTGATGTCATCGGATAATTATAAAATCATGATTATTATAAAACTTGGAAAGGATGTATATACATAAGTTAACTAAGATAAGAAAATGATAAACATGGTATTATTTCCACGGCTTATTCAATAATATGTATATTTTTAAAAAAATATACAGAGTAATAATAATAATTTTTTTTTTTTAAAAAAAAGTCAGCTCAACATGAGTGTGAATTGAACACTGGAAAATGACTTTACAGATAATAATTCCAAAAATAACATTACAAAAGAGGATCTGATGCATTGTATTTGTAACTAAGAGAGGAGGATGTGATAAGATGTTCATACGTCATAGTCATGTTAGACTCTATATGAATATAAACCTATGACCGTATTGGAACATATATTTAGTCAGTATTATCATTATGA